CTTCAGTCCAGTTTTTCTCCTCTGGGACCACAGTCCATGGCACTCTACCCAGGGTGATAGCTTGAGGTGCCGTCTCAAAAAAAAAAAAAAAATTCTTTTGTTTTTTATTTTATTATTTTTTATGTTTATTTAGTTTTTGGCGGGGCTGGGTTTGAACCCGCCACCTCTACCTCCGGCATATGGGACCCACCTCCACCTCTGGCATATGGGACTGGCGACCTACCCTTTTGAGATACAGGGGCCGCCCTTTTGTTTTTATTATTTTTTTTGAGACAGAGTCTCACTCTGTTGCCCTTGGTAGAGTGCAGTGGTGTCATGGCTCACAGCAACCTCAAACTCTTGGGTTTAAGCGATTCTTTTGCCTCAGCCTCCCATGTAGCTGGGACTACAGGCACCTGACACAAGGCCCAGCTATTTTTTTTAAATTATAGTTGTCATTGTTGTTTGGCAGGCCTGGGCTGTGTTTGAATGCGCCAGCTCTGGTGTCTGCAGTTGGAGCCCTAGCTGCTGAGCTACAGGTGCAAAGCCCCCAGCTATTTTTTTGTTGCAGTTGTCATTGTTGTTTAGTAGGCCCAGGCCAGGTTCAAGCCGCCTGCCTTGGCGTATGTGGCTGGCACCCTAACCCCTAAGCTACAGTCCCCAAGCCTATTTTATTATTTTTAGAGATGAGGAAAGGGGGGTCGTCCCCCTCAGGCTGGACTTGGTCTCCTGGGTCTAGCTTTGAAGACTGTGTGTGTATATATATGTATATATATATATATATTTTTTTTTTTTATTGAGACAGAGTCTTACTTTGTCAACTTGGGTAGAGTGCTGTGGATGCTCATAGCATCCTCAAAGTCTTGGGCTAACACAATCCTCTCGTCTCAGCCTCCCAAGTAGCTGGGAATACAGGTGCCAGCCACAGTGCCCGGCTGTTTTTTAGAGATGAGGTCTTGTTCTTACTTAGGTTGGTCAAGAACTCCTGAGCTCAGGCAATCCAACAGCCTGGGTCTCCCAGAGTGGCTAGGATTACAGTTGTGAGCCACTGCGCTGGCTTCATTTTTTTCTATTTTTAATACAGTGGTTTCCCTTTTGCTTAGGCTGGTCTTAAACTCCTGAGCTCAAGAAATTTGGCTGCCACGGCCTCCCAGTTCTAGGATTACAGGTTTCAGCTACTCTGCCTGGTCCTCATCTAACTTTTTTTGTCCATTGGAGCAGCCACCCCTAAACTGTGTCATCTCTTGGGATTGCTTCCCCTTGGAAGGCTTGAGCCCCAACATCATAGTCTCTATTGCCAAACTGCTAAGCCTCTCCTTCTGAGAGGCGCTGGTCTTTGGGTCTTTCTATGTTGTCTCCCAATCCTTCCGCTCCCTGCCGGTTTTAGTTCCTGTCCTCTGGGGCTAGAGCCTTTGTTCAGCACATTCTCAGTGCATTCTACTTAACTCATCTTCCTGTCCTACTCAATCAGAAAACTGGGTTTTGGTCACTAAGATCTATATTTATATTAATATCTTGAAAAATCATAGTTAAATGAACCCTACATAATAATATTACTTTTGAGCTTGAGTGTAGCGGTCTTATTATAGTTGACAGCAAACGCAAACTACTGGGCTCAAGGGATTCTCTTGCCTCAGCCTCTAAGTAGCTGGGACTACAGGTACTTCCGACTACCCCCTTCTAATTTTTCTATTTTTGGTAGAGAGAGGTCTCACTCTTGCTCAGGCTGGTGTATGAGCCTGAGCTCAAATGATGCTTCCACATTGGCTTCCCAAAGTACAGGCGTGAGCCACCTCGCTGGACAATTATGATTTCTTTTTTTTTTTTTTTTTTGAGACAGAGCCTCAAGCTGTCCCCCTGGGTAGAGTGCCGTGGCATTACAGCTCACAGCAACCTCCAACTCCTGGGCTCAAGCGAGTCTCCTGCCTCCGCCTCCCAAGTAGCTGGGACCACAGGCGCCCGCCACAACGCCCGGCTATTTTTTGGTTGCAGCCGTCATTGTTGTTTGGCGGGTCCAGGCTGGGGATTCGAACCCGCCACCTTAGGTGTACGTGGCTGGCGCCTTAGCCGGTTGAGCTATAGGCGCTGAGCCGACAATTATGATTTCTAAACCCTAGTATGTCTTTAATGAGTCTTGTCTAACTTGTAGCTCTAGTGTCCCACTCTGGTTATGTACAATTTCTACCACTTTCCCAAATCTTCCTTCTCACTTCAAACGCTTCTATTGTTCACAGGTAGCGCCTTTCTCCTTGAGTGGTTTCCTCAAGTCCTTCCCTTCGCCTGAATAAACCTCCTGTACTATTGTGTCATACCCCAGCACTAGCCATCTCCAAATACTCTTTTTTAAGAAAGTCACTCTGAGAGCCCTTATTGACTTCTAGTCTCCTTTCCATCCTCCGCCCCCCAGCTTTTCTTTGCTGCCCGGAACCTACAGCTTCCAACTGGGAGGTCCTCAAAGCCTAGAATTCCATTGCATTCCCCACCCCCACTCTCTAATGCTCCTGCAGTTCCTGGTACGTAGTAGGGGATCCGCTAGCGTTGGTGACGGTTGGAAGTTTTTTCAAGGGTGAGAAGTGGACGGGGACGGGGGCCCGAGTGAGCGTCTCGGCTTGCCTGGGACCCGGGCTGGCCGGGAACCGTGGAGTTCACCGGCGCATCCCAAGTGCTTTGGCAAAGTGGGCGAGGGAGGGAGGAGCAGGGCCAGTGCGGAGAGACGCCTGGGGGCCAAGGGCATCGAGACTGTAGCGGGACGGGAGCTGCCTGTGCCGGAGTAATCACTTTTTAGGGGCTTGTTTGGGACCTTTGCATATACACGGGCGCAAACCCCCAGCTCATCATCGTGTCACCGACGCGAGCGGCGTGGCAGAGAGGGGGCGCTGTGCAGCCCGACGTCCGCGCCGCCGGCGGGAAGGACCCCAGCGGCGGCCCCGTCCCCAGCTAGACAGGTGAACGCCAGGCCGGCCGCAGGGCGGAGCCCACGGTCCCCGCCGGCCATCCTCCCTGACACCGGAAAGGTAACTTCCCGTCTGGGCCTGCCCCGGACCCCCAGAGTTTTGGAGCCAGGGCCCTCCAGCGTCCCTCCGGCCTCCCCGCCCCCACGCTGCGACCCCCAGCCCTGACGCACGCCTGAGGCCGTACGCCTTTGTCCTCTCGCGATTCGCGCCCGCGCCCTCAACGGCTGAGAGTCGGATCCCGGCCTGGAGCTGCGTGGGTCCCGGGCCCCCCCTTCTCTCCGCCTTCGGGAACTGGGAGAACCCCGAGATGGCGTTGGCGGAAGTGAAGCCCCAATTACGGGTTGGGTGAGTGGGGCGGTTAGCGCGGGTGACTTAGACTCTGTCCTCTCCCCGGCCCCAGGGCACCAGAGAAGCGACTGTCGCGTTTACCTCATACTATTTCGTTAGGGCGCCCGGCGCCAAGCTACTGATTTCCCCAGGCAGTTTTTTTTTTTTTTGACAGTCTTTGTCGCCCTGGGTAGAGTGCTGTGGCTTCACAGCTCACAGCAGCCTCAAACTCTTGGGTTGAAGTGATTCTCTTGCCTCAGCCTCGCAAGTATGTGGGACTACCGGCGCCCGCCATAACGCCTGGCTAGTTTTAGAGACGGGGTGGGGGGGGGTCTCGCTCTGGCTCAGGCTGGCCTCGAACTTGTTAGGTCAGGCAATCCAGCCCTCTCGGCCTCCCAGAGTGCTGGGATTTCAGGCGTGAGCCACCACGCCCGGCCTTCCTCAAGTATTTTTTGGGGAGAAACATTTTTTAAAAAGATGTCTAGTTTACTTGCAACAAAATACCCCATTTTATGTGTACAGATCGACGGGCTTTGACAAATTAAACACCAGCGTAACCACTATCCCAGGATTCACAGGCCACATCCATCAGCGAGGAAGTTCCCCTTTCCCCCCCCATCCGTATTTTTTGAGGCAGAATCTCACTTTGTCGCCATTGTTTGAGTGCCATGGCGGCTGAGTGTTGGCGGTTGACAGCCATGGCGGTTGAGTGGCGTCGCGGTTGACAGCCGTGGCGGTTGAGTGGCGCCACAGTTGACAGCCGTGGCGGTTGAGTGGCGCCACGGTTGACAGCCGTGGCGGTTGAGTGGCGTCGTGGTTGACAGCCCTGGCGGTTGAGTGGCGCCACAGTTGAGTGACGCCACGGTTGAGTGCCATGGCAGTTGATTGCTGTGGCGTCACTGCCCACAGCAACCTCAAACAATTGGGCTTAAGCGAGTCTCTTTTCTCAGTCTCCCAAGTAGCTGGGACTACAGGCACCC